CCTCAAGCACACGAGAGGGGATACCCCTGTAAGGTCCACACATGTGTGTTTGCCTCCAACCCATCCAAAACTCAAAATGTCAGCCGGTCTAAGGGTTGACCTTCCTTCTGCCGCGTCAGTCAAGAAATTCATAGGTGTCTGTTTCTTGGCGGAAATCCCGACACGCTTAAATATGTCAAACAAAACATCCATAACCCTATTGTTCCTTCATTTGAACCTCGAGATTTCTTTACAGTGAATTGCATGCTCTCCAAAAGATTCCAAACATACCTTGCGAAACCCCGGACATATCTCATTAGCTGGGAATATTGGAATCATGAGTCGATATTTGAGGATAGTACGATACTCCACATGAGACATATGTTGGCCAAGCTCATCTATAAGGATAGATAGAAGAAAATCTTGAGCATGTGGTGCACGTAAGTAGTGGAAAACCGCTTTCTGTCGAGCCGTCATGTCGAGACGCACTTCCATATCTTGGACGATTTTACAAAAAAGGGCACTCGCTAGTGTATTATGGGATTTAGGGGGGTGTCTTTAGTAGTAAAAATGCTAAGGTCAATATCCGAAAGCTTGTTACGAAGAGAAGCCAAAGCACAATCATAATCAGAATCCATACCATATATGTGCCATCCCGTAAGATGTGGTCTTGCAATACCCAAGATTGGGCCCTTGATGCAACAAAAGCATATGGGGTAGCCTCTACTGCCGAGTATAAACCCAAACCACCAAATCTAATGGGTAAGGAAGCAATTCGCAACTGTATGTCTCCAAAGAAAATGCCACCATAAACCATAATGTCCTCAATCTCCCCGCACAACCCATTATCAAAAAATAGTGTCGCCTCCTCCATGTGAACGGGTGGGCACATCCTCGGCCCAAACAAAAGTTTAGCAATACCCATACAAGACCGAAGCAGAAGGAGCTCACTCTAGGGGTCAGATAATTGTGGAAGAAGGAACATCAAATTCATAGTGTTTTTGGCTCTCTTTCTGGCTAAGTTGCTAATGAAACTAGCATCTTTACTAACAGCTCCCCCCAAGAAGTTTCACCCTCAAAGGCGGCCTCCTGATGCCAATCGGGAATAGCCATTCACGTAGTTTCTTACCATCACATGAGGGCCAAAAGAGCTCGGTTTTCTTGATATTATGTTGAAGGCCCAATTTTGGGCCAATCACCTTAATGATGTCCAATGCTTTGACCACCTCCTCCAAATCTCCAATAAGTATGTCATTATCAAGGTACCATGCATGGAGAAGAAGCTTGTAATTATCTTTAATATTATGCAAGAGTGGGTGCAACATAAAGGCAAATAGAAGTGGTCCCAAGGGGTCTCCTTGCTGAACCCACTAGTGGACCAAATATGTGTTTCGCCTAGATACAACCATGCTGCTTGACCATATAGGAATTCTACCAACATGGATATAGAAGGACACATCAATCTGACCTCATGAAGTAATACGAATTTGTCGACCATGTTAAAGGCATTGGAGAAGTCCACGGTAAGCATGGAAAGAGACCTGTCATCGTGGCACTCACTCGACACCCTCTTGGCGCTATGTAATACGGCCTCAATGCCACCCGACACCCCGATCCCGAACTGAAAATCGTTGAGATATTTGGCCATTTCTTTATGAACACCTTTCATAGCCAACTTGGAAACCAAACGTTTCCATATAGTGCCTACTGCAATAGGTCGTATTCCCTTTTTAGGTTTTAAGAGCGGCATGGGAGGAGTAGTTGCAACAAATTATGCTTAACTCGAAGGGCATTTTCCTCCTAGCCATAGACTAACCACAGATGTAATAGCATCTAGGAGGTATTTGGCTATACTTGGACCTTCTCCACAAAGAGCATCCAAAATGTGTTAAGCTCTCAACCCATCTCTTCCACATGAGGTACCTTTAAGGAATGATTTAATGCCCCCAAGGACATTGTCAACATCCACTACAAGGGGAGATTTTGAAAATATGGTGCTTTGCATGGAAGGTGGCGGCTTGTATGGATGCTTATCATCCAATGTCTTCATGGTATCACCCCCAAATGGACCAACCCCCGAAGAACATAAAACTTTCACTGTTGCTGTAAAATGTTCATCGGCAACATTACGAAGACATTGTCTAACATTGGTGCTCTCCAATGTTCTTTCCTCCAGAATGTACTCTTCTTTTTTGCCTTGTCGCTCCAGTCTTGCGTTGTCAACTAAGTTTTTAACTAACTTGGCAATACCGTCTTCAGTCCCCCAAGTAGCTAATGCGCTCAAGATATTACGATGTTGCAAAGACTTCCTGCCAGACCTACTTTCTTGCTTTGGGCCTAGACACGTGAAGAGTATACCTAGGAAGAATTAACAAAGCAACTCACACTTCAACGAACCAGAGATGAGTAACCACCTTGGAAAGGGTTGCTTTCAAAGCCTGAATGAAAGTCATACAGCAATTATGAGGGATGTTTTTTACGGTGCTGATAGCTTGTTTAAAAACACAATGAAGTAGTTGAGCATCCATCACCAACCCATCATTGAGATCGGCTTCCGCTCATGTCATCAGCCCCGTCAATAAACTTAATCAGGACACCAGGGTGGTGACATGAACGAATCAGGGCATTAAGACTCATGTAACTCCCACATATCCATTGACCAAACTTCTTCAAAGTTGTTGCCTCTGACATAAACAATCCGTGGTCAGAAGTAATAGCCTCCCATAACACAACTTTGCGTTCAACTGTAAGGAGGTGTAAGCTCTTGAGATGAGATATTATACGGGAAATCCCTTTACTTCCAAAAATACCATTTGGGAAACAATGAAACCCCCGAAAAGGACACGGCCAATTTCCGCTCTCAAAGGAATGAAAGGATGCCATGAACACACAAATAAAGTTTGTTTAAGCCTCAAGGTGAGACCCGAAATTAAAAGCAGAAACCCAAATGGGTTTTTTACAAGATTCGTTAATATGCTTCACCTTTTTGATCTATAATGGAAGTTTGAACATGTGAATGACAGAATATTTCCAGAAGAAGTTGTTTGACACTATTCATTTTATGGAAATACTTAATTTGAAGGAAAGATACATTTTTTGATAAGTTTCCAACTCTAGCACAGCAGTTGCCTCGTGAAATTTTGCTAAAGAAGGGTGAGAGGTGAGCATTATGAAGATAAAGTCACGAAATGAATATATATATATATATATATATATATATATATATATATATATATATATATATATATATATACAATAATAATTCGAAGACTATAGCTTACCTGTAACTTCTTATAAAACCCTGCTCAAAGTTATGTAAAATATTAAATAGATAAAATACAAACTATCAAAGCTTTGGGTTTTTAGGTTCTTGCGTGCATTTTGAAGGGATTTTGCTATTTAGGAGAAAGTTGTCCAGAACACTCTAACTATGTGGGTCGATGCCCCAAAATGACTAATTTCTCAAAGGGACATGTGTGCGTACGTACACCTTCACATGCCATTTGCCAAGACCATTTTTGTTATATAAATATAAGGACCTCAAGAACTACAAGTATAAGAGATAGTTTAAGGCTTAAATTAATTGTTATTTAACTACTGAACTATGGATTCAAATTTGGTCATTATTATTTCTGTTGTGTCCAGCTTGTGCTTCATCGTCTTTGGGGTTGCATGTCTTGCATGCTGTATACAAGGGGAGAAGGCAACTAAAGATAAGTCGGTTGACAAAGAGAAAGCTGACAAGGCCCGAAAGATCAAGCAGTTGAGATGGGTTGTTGTGCTGGTGGTGGAAGCGGATTTGGCGGTGGTTGTGGTGGTGGATGTGGTGGTGGTTGAATGCAAGGTAGTACGTTCTTATGCAAGTAATATTTCTTTTTCTCTTAAGCACGTGATGTATGTTTAGTTTGATGGTATTTTATTTCATTAGTATAAATTTTTTTTAAAAAAAAAAGTCATCGTACGTTGATATGAATTTCTGTTTGTTTTTTTTTTAATTAATATATTTAATTCCTAGATTTGAAGTATGTATGGAACGATGTTTTATGGCCGCGCCGTGGTACTTTAAGCAATGAAGTTTAAGTTTCACATTGTTTAATAAAATTTATTTAAATTTTTTGATGAAAAGTGTATGAATTATGTATTTTGGTATGTTAAATTTGTTAAATGGTTAAGCAAAAAGATATAACACTTATAATATAAATAAAAGCTGAATAAACATATTTACATAAACTTTACATAGTTGTAGACATATTTAGAAGGGACATTGATATTCAACATATTTTAAGTAATGGCAACAGTAGCAGTTCTTCAAAAGGGGCAAAAGTAGCAGTTCTTCAAAAGGTTTCAACAAAATACACGGTAGTAACAACCCATGATGTAACAAAATATCGCAGCGACAACTGTCCCAAACGTTTTTACATAGCACGCCAGCTCTCCAAAGTTTTTGTAGAAAATATGGCAGAGCCTCAAAAGTTAATCATATTTCTTGTGACATTGTTCAAAAAGCATAAATAAATATTGAATATAGGAAATACTAAATAATTGATAGACAATCCATGATATTACAGATATACCTTACTGAACTGCATGACATGGAGCACAACTACTTGTCTTTTCCTCGTGAACCAACACGGGTTTTGTTGTTCACGTTTGCTGCATCAACACATTTTTTTTGCTTCTTAACCGACTTACCATCGGTTTGGTCAAGAGAATCTGCAAAAACCTTCAATATTATTTTCCAAATAATAAAAAAATGTTATATATATATATATATATATATATATATATATATATATATATATATATATTCCTAAAATAGATTCTAGAAGAAACGATTAGTAAGATTTATGTACCTTCAGATGATGTTTGGAAAAGTTGTTTCTGGATAGATTTCATTTGGTGATGTTTAGTTTCAGCGGAAGCGGGTGTGATGGGTGATGTTGTGAGACGCTCTTGAAAGGCTTTTGCTGGAGTAACATAAGCAGTAGATGGAGGATCAGTTGATGTAGTGGGTGTTTTTTTTATGATGCTGAGGCAGTTGGTTGGTTGATAATGTCTGTTTCTGTGTGACTTTCTTTTTCTGGAGAAACTATATCTTCAAAAACAGCATCTGCTACAAAGTCTTTAGCACCCGGCCTACAGAATCTTGCGAATCGGAATTGAATTATTTTTGGCTGGCCTATGAGAATGGTGAGTGGTGCAGGCAATGTGTACGGATCAGTGTATCCATGATGATCAATGAGTGTGTTGCAATCTGTTTGGAACAACATTCTAGCTGCAGCATCAAAAAATACTATCTTTGCTTGAGCGGTCTCATCTGCGATGTGTGCTGTGATAAAAAAACCTGTTGATACGATTATTAGACATATGTATGTTAAGATGATTATATACTCAAGTAGTTGACATAAAAAACATAGTACTTACAAATTGTTTGGTTTAGCAACTTGATCATGATCTTCGCATGCAAGTGTGTTTCCTCTTTTTTGAAGTTTTTTACGACATTCATGACATGCTTTATAAAACCAACCCTTGCTTGCATCTATGCTAACCAGAGATGCTTTGCAAGTGAACTGAGCTCCCTGTAATATTATCTATATTAAATTTAAAACTATAAAATTTGTATATATATTTTAAGATAAGAGAAGGTTTGATGGCTTACTGCATAACGGTTTGGGTTTTGAGATAGCAAGTCTACCAATGGAAACCTGTTTCTTTTCTTTTCGACTTCTACATCTTTACTTTTTTGGTATTGTATCTTGAGTACAGGGTTTTGATTATGTCGTTCGACAAACCTAAAAGAGAAAATGAACTGTAAGATATGTCACAAAGTTATATAAATATGAATAAAGAACTTACTCAGCAGCCATTGCAGCAGCCTCGGGAATAGTGGGGTTGATGTAAATATATGAGGCTGGAGTTGCTATCAGTTGCAAATTTCCTATTAAAGAAACCAACATAAAAATGCTGTTAATTACAAAATAAAAGAAAAATAAGCAAAAATAATAAGGTTGGGGCAGTTTCTATAAATGTTGCTAAATGCAAGAAATAGGAATGTACTTTAATTTGATTTTCTAATATAGCATAATACTTTAAACTTTATTTCTCTTTCTTTTTAAATAAGTGTTATTCTTTATTAAGCATTGTACTTTGAAAGCAAAATGCTTCAATACAATAAAATGAGAAAAATGTACCTAGATACTGTGTGACTTTCATTGAAGTAATAGCAACAATAACAGGAGAAGGTAATGCTTCGATAGCTTCTTTATCAAATGAGTTAGCCGCCTCATCCTAGAAAGTTGTCTCAATCATTGTTCCACTAAACATACATATTTCAGATATTAAATATGATATGCTTGGTCTTTGTTAGATATATGAGATAGAAAATACCTCAAATTTTCTAGTTTGAGTTTCAAAATTGCATTTCCTTGAGTTCTGACTACTTCATACACATTTTCAACTCTTCCGATATAATCTTAACACAAATATAGCAATTTTGTGATTTTAAAAAGATATATATATATATATATATATATATATATATATATATATATATATATATATATATATATATATATATATATATATATATATATATATATATATATATATATATAAGTATTACATACCTGTGAGTGTCTTATGGTTATCAAGCCTTGCACCTAATTGACCATATGCAAGAAAATTGAAGTAGTACACAGGAAATCCATCATCAAGTATTTCTTCAAATTTTGCTGCCCTACCTAGCTTGATTTTGGTTTTGTGTGGGACAGTAACAAAGAAAGTATTTGCATTGTCACACACATAGTTGCTTACAGAGTAACAACCATCCATCCTGATTATCGAATCAAATTAGCCTTTATCTCCCAGGCAACCACATGCTTCTATTGCATCTCCCTGCCAAAAATGAATGGTTTTATATGTATATGTATAAGTATCTAACATAGAATTGATTATAATTGACAATTGCATGTAATATTATGGTGAATGCGCTCACACTTTTATCAAGGAATACGTAGCAACATTCAGCTTTTTTCCCATATGATAACCATTTCCTAATGACTTTTATTTCTATTGGCTTGTCTCCATCACCAGGGTTTAAGTTTGCTACCATAATTGTATCCATTTTCTAGGTATATAAAATTTGTGGCCTATCTGAACTCCAGTGATGACTTATGCCTGAATAAGTCTTGGTAGAAGCTGTGTGATAATCATCCTAGTTCCATTGCAGAGCCCTTCCATCTGATTCATGTTGCGGAGTAACATGATTGGAATACCAACTTTTAGTTGAAGACGGTGAGTAGGAAAACCACTGAAGTTAAGCAGGTTCAAATATTCAGACGGATAAAGAACCTCTGTATCCCCTCTATCATTCGCATGTGGAATAACTGAGTCGAAACTTAGATAAACAATAGGTTTCCCTGGCAGATTACACAATATGAGGTTGTTAATTTCATCTGCAGTTTCGTTTTTAGGGCAAACAATGGCTTTGTCACAAAACATGGTTGCTCTTGGATTATGAAAAATGTCTTCGTCATATATAAAGTGAACTAAATCCTTAAGAGCATCTTCATGATCTGGTATGAGATATTTTTCTGGTATCTCTACCCATTTGGTGTCAGTAGGATCATCTTCATCATCTACACCAACACATCCATCTCCTATCTGCAACAACCATGATGAAAAAGCAGCAATTTCTTCTTTTTCTTTGGTACTCAGATTAGGTTGAAGAAGCCTCATATTTTTTGATAATTTACATACTTTGAAATGGCTCCATACCGACGATTCAACTATAGATGACTCTATGATGTCTCTCTTGCTCCCTTTAGGTTTTACAGGTAAAGTTTGTCTGAAATCCCCACCCACCAGCACTGATTTTCCACCAAAAGGTTGCGTTGGCTCATTAAGTATATCTTTAAGTGTCTTATCTAATGCCTCAAAGCATCTTCGATCTGTCATTGGTGCCTCGTCCCAAATAATCAGTGCAGTTTCACTAAGCAAACGGGCAAGCTGTGTGTTTTTACTTATGCTACAGATGGAGTTATTTGTAAGGTCCAATGGAATCTTGAATCGAGAATGTGCTGTTCTTCCTGAGGGCAGCAAAAGAGATGCAATACCAGAAGATGCAACTGCTAAAACAATTTTCCCAGCAGACCTGAGCGCATAAATGATTGTGGTCCAAAGGAATGTTTTACCGGTACCACCATGTCCATAAACAAACATAAGCAGTTGATGGTTTTGCAAAGAAGCTTTCATAACAGTCTCATAAATAGTATGTTGCTCGGAATTAAGCGCAGACACCATAACTTCCTTTTTTTGGGTCAGAGAAACTCTATCATAATTTCTCTCCTCCATGAGCAATTTATTTTTTAATTTTGCAAGCAAATGCGGTGGAGGCATAGGCAAACCATAATCACAAAGCGAGGAATAACTGTTATTAGAATTTAGCAAGATCTGTAACTCATATAAGACATACTGTTGCAAGTCAACTTCATTAACATGTAAGTTCACAACATGTGAATCTGCAGCTGGTCTTTGGACTATATCATCCCTCATTCGCCGCCATTGTTTTGTCCATAGAGCAAGAGGATCTACAACATCACAAAATATAAGCATGTGAGCAAACAGGGATCTGAGTTCTTCAGCAGTTGCCCAGCTAGAAGCATCATCGAATGCATATTTCCATTCTTTGTCATCACCAAGCAGCCCCAATTGTTCGCATGCAGCACGATAGGTTGGAAATATGACATCGCCTACTGTCTTGATATCATTAAATGTCTGACATCCAACCTGGTGACTAAGAAGCATCCTTAGATAAAAGAGCTCACCACATGTTGGATGAATATAGATTAATCTTCCAATAGGAGGCGTCTTCTTTGACTTTCTACGACACCAGTCCTTCCCTCGAGCAATCCATTTATATTTTGATAGATAATCAAGATAAGTAAGATGATGACCGTTGTCATCAATCTGATTGTTTTTTAGCCATTGTGTAAGAGTTTTTTTCTTTATCATTGGATCATCAACAACATCTTGTAACAGTTGTTTGTCCTTAAACGTAACTGTTTTCATGTTTTCCAAATGAACTGCAAGCACTTGCACGGCAGGATTTCGATGATGGATGTGAAAGTCGAATATCCTCCAAGCTGCCTCATGAGGGCAAATGAATCTAGCATCTACAAAGTTTTGTATCTCATTGATGTTGCTCGTTTTTTTATCAACTTTATCAGAAGGCTCGCCTAGAGATTTAGTAATTTTGGCTCTAATACGGTCAGCTCCTTTGGAAATGTATTTGAATAAGTATTTAATCATCATACTCCAACCACAATATTCAACATTGATATGAGCCTGAAAAACCAGAGAAAGATTTTTGTTGTATGGGACAACATATCCATTATCTAGGTTGATTCCATATTTCACTACAAAGCACCCATCATTTCTTCTCTTATAATGAACATACCCATCCTTATCAAACCGTGTGACATCTTCATATTTTTTTGGAAAATGCTTTGAACAGACCCCATCAAACATGCATGGTGCTTTCATCTTTGCAAGACCGCATGTTCCATGCATCATAAGCTCGGTGACAATCTTGTAGAGTTGAGGATCAACGACTGGATCAGGGATTTCAGTAGAAATAAACTGATCAAGCTGTTCTGGGGTATGAATTTTATATGGAGGTGACACCCACAGGAGAGTATGGCAATGGGGCAGGCCTCTTTTTTGGAATTCTATAGTATACAGCTCTGCATGCATAAGAAAAAAAACATAAGATAAGGATATAAGATTTTGAGACAATATATTGTAATGGATGAACAATATGCCAGTTAATAATGACATTACCTGCTACAACCTGTCCAAAAGGTTTTTCATTTTTCAAATAGTGAATAAAATCCTTAACCTTCATCTCGAATATTCTAGCAATAATATCAGCCCTGTCCTCAGCCTTCATTCCAGGATATTGTGCTAGATATCTTGAAATCTCTGGCCATTTAACATTGCAAGTGTATGTTATAAAATATTGAGGATTTCCATGTACTCTACATATAGCACGTGCATCCTGATAATGCTTGTACATATATCTAGGACCGCCAGTAAAAGACGCGGGCAATATTTTCCTTTTCCCGACATCATGTCCATCAGAATCACCTTTCAATAACGCATCATGAACGCCCTGAAGGTACTCGGTCCTAAAAACATCTTGCATTGATTCAATGTAATCCAATCTATTTTGCTCAATAGATATATATGCATTAACTAAAAACTGTTGGAACAACCTGCCTCCTCTAGGTAACAATGCATATATGTTGAACCGATCATGTAGTTGAAAGCTGTAAAACATATTCATCGTCAGTTGCTTATCACCTATACATCCATCATTTACTTGCTTAAGCTCAATCGACCAACCATGCTCACCAAAAACAAACAGTAACGGGAACTGCAACGCCATATACAAAGGATGCAACTTATTTATTCTTCGAGGCCGCCCATCTCTCATGCGGATTATTATGTCAAAATCATTTTTACATGTAGGCCCGCTGTCATAAACAATTCCGCCTAGCACACCCAGAGTAGGAGCATTATAGCGCATTTGGTTTCCACTATTATATAACCTGACCATGAACTCTTGAGGTTGTTCGTGAAGACATATATCTCTAGCTGTTCTGAATAGCTTGACTAAATCATTGATTTTGTCGAAAATGTCAATCAAAGTCTTGACAATTTCTGGTTTTAGATCGCCACATTCAGAGCCACTAAAATGACGAAGTCTGTTGCAAACTTCATTATTAGTATCATAGATATACATTTGCAAGAACCTTGGATTACCATCAGTTGGTGGACACAAAGATCCCATCCAATGAGAAATCTGCCCTTCTACCTTGAATACATAAGGCCCTGACCCATTATTAACTGAATCATCCACTTTTTCCCCGAACGAAGTCATGGCGAACATCATGTTATAAGCACGGATGTTTTCCATAAAGTGCTTATCTTTAAAGAGTTCTTTAATTATCTCTGGAGGCTGCCTTGGTAGCGGCAACATTACCCGACCGCCTTTGCAACAACGACTATATTTAGGTCTTTGATTTTCGGGAAGACCTTTCCGTCGTTCAGCATACCAGAAGCATGCATAACAATGCTCGCAGATTTGGTCACAATCACCCAAATCCAAATATGCAGTAGATGGACCTGGAAAACATGACAAACAACATAGTTAATAACATCTGAGTCATGCTTAAGCAGGTGGCGAACATATCATGTATACACATGAGAAACCCCATCAAGAAGAATGGCAGACGAATTTTTTTTAGACATACCATTGATTCTGTTACTGTGACTATCACCTGAACCAAAAGATTGAGAATTATGAGGTTGTTGGACATGAGGTGTTGACATATGAGAGTCCTTGAATACCGAAAGTTTTGTACACATAAGCCTTTTTGACACACGATTTTTTGTAGATTTAGAACTCGATGGGCTATCAGAAAAAGCATGTGGGCTGGATTGTGGAGAAGAAACATAATTTTCAAGTGGATGTTCATCATTATGATTAAGCTTTTTCTTTTTGCGTTGCATATTGTTGTGAAACGAATCGGTGAAAGAAATAAGTTGGCTTTTAATATAATGGAAAATCATAACAATATAAGATAGAGGCATCAAGATATAGCAAAAACAAATCAGTTAGTAAAGAAAAAAGGCCAAGCTAAATAAGCGATGAAAACAACACATTATACATAACACGGCTTAGAGGGTACCTTTTTGAAATCCAAAGGTAGGAAATAGAACTAAAGCAACAGATAACAATATAAGGAACCTGAAACAATCATTTAATG